TTTAAAAGACAGTTTAGAGAATCATCTAGTTTTTTAGTCCAAAACCTGCCCAAGGCAGCAATCCTCAGAACATGTCCAATCTTTTCTTGAAAACTTCCAGTGATGGAGGATCCACAGCTACAGGAAGTAAGTTGTTTCATTGCTTAATAATTCTGTCAGGAAATTCCTCATTTCCAGGTTGTATCTCTCTCTGATGAATTTCTACAGGTGCTCATATTATCTTCAAGTGCTGTGGAGATTAAATCAACCCCCTCTTCCCTGTGGCAACCCTTCAAGTATTGGAAGACTGCCATCATGTTTCAGTCTTCTTTTAATAAAGCTTAACATACCTAGTTCCTTTAGCCATTCTTCATAATATTTAGCCTCCAGATCAGGGGTGGGTTCTACTTACCTTTACTACCGATTCGCAATGGGGCTGCGCGCATGTGCTCTTCTGCGCATGAGCAGAAGCATTTTGATGACGTTGGGGTCGGTGGGCGGAGCCTCCCGCCAGTTTTACTACCGGTTCTATAGAACCGGTGTCAAGTTTCCGAAAGATGCCCTAATTAATGGCCAGAGAGGAGGGGAGAGACAGGGTCATAGGGGAACGTAAATCTACGTAGGATTAGTCCTAACTGTCTGTCAAGTTTCCGAAAGATGCCCTAATTAATTCATGAGCCATGATCCAAACTTCAAAGGAAATATAGTCATTTATTAGGAGCACCATTCTGGCAATACTGGGATGCAGTTAGGACTATTCCTACGTAGATTTACGTTCCCCTATGACCCTGTCTCTCCCCTCCTCTCTGGCCATGTCATAAATCACATTCTCCAATTAACCACTTTGGCTGGCTGTGAAACCTAACACCCTCCTTCTGATTGCGGTCAGAAGAATGTATGGAATTCACTTCAGTTCTCCCTCCCTCCTGCTCATGGCAACTTGAAAGCTTTGCAAGTTGACATCCAGTGTGAACCGGGGGCAACCCACCACTGCTCCAGATCCCTTATCAACCTAATTGTTGTTCTTTGCACTTTTTCTAGGACCTCAGTATCTCTTTGGTATTGATTATCAGAACTGAATGTGACCTCACCAGGGCAGTATAGAGTGGAACTATCCCCTCCCTTAATCTTGATGCTATCCCTCTTTTGATGTAACCCGTGACTGTGTTGTTGTTTTTTACAGCTGCAGCATATTGCTGACTCATAGTTGAGCAGTTAAAAGAGAATGTCAGAAGTGGACATTCTAGCTTGTTTAGAACAGTGAAATACAAATCAAGCTGCATCGGTCTTTTTTTTTTAGATGCAGAGAAAGCTTTTGATAATCTGATACGAACTTTTCTAATTAAAGCTTTAGAAGATATGCACTTCGAAGAAAAACTTTATAAAATGAGTAAAGTTGATCTACATGTCACAGAAGGCACAAATTATGGTTAATGGAGAAACTATGTAAAGGAACAAGACAGGGCTACCCCACTGTCTCTTTTGTTTATTTTGGTTTTGAATAGAGACAATACAAGATGACAGGATAGGTTCTCCAGACTTGGCAACTTTAAGACTTGTGGACTTCAACTCCCAAAATTCCTCTGCCAGATGTGCTTGCTGGGGAATTCTGGGAGTTAAAGTCCACAAGTTTTAAAGTTGCCAAGTTTGGAGACCCCAGGGATAGTGGGAATAAAAATTTAAGAAGAAACACCCAGTTTCTGAGAGCTTTTGCAGATGATTTGTTGCTGGTTTTGGAAGATCCCTTAAAAGAAATTGAATTATTAAATAGGAAAATTAAAAGAATTTGGTGCATTAGCTGATTTCAAAATTAACAAACAGAAGACAAAAACATTACCAGAAATATGTAGATCCAGATCAAATAGAAATGATGAATAAAATAGGCTTTAAAACCCAGAAGGTAAAATACTTGGGTATTAACAAATATGAAATGCTAGTTTAAACTAAGTCACCTGAAGATATGAAGTTAAAAAGATGTGTGAAAATGGTCAATATTGAAGAGAATTTCTGTGTTTAAGAAGAATATTTGTCTAGAGTGCTATTTTTTGTTTCAGAAAATATTCCTTTTAACAACTGATGTACCACTTAAACAATGGCAGAAAGATACATACATTTGTGTGGCAGAGGAAAAGCATTAGTTAAATATCAGGTGCTGCAAGATGCAAAGGAAAGAGGAGAGTTGGGTCTGATCTGAAATTATACTTTGCAGCTAACTTCAGTTTGGATGAAAGTAGATGATGGTGTGAAAAAGAAATTTATTGAAATTAGAACAACACGATTTGAGATTTGGGTAGCAAGGATGCTTATGGTACAACAAAGCTAAGGTTAATGTAGATTTTAAAATATTTTTTTAGGCATGCCATATTGACAATATACCAATAGCACTAAGACTTATATACAGCTTCACAGTGCTTTTACAGCCCTCTCTAAGCGGTTTACAGAGTCAGCATATTGCCCCTAACAATCTGGCTCCTCATTTTACCCACCTCAGAAGGATGGAAGGCTGAGTCAAGCTTCAGCCAGTGGGACTTGAACTGCCAAACTGTGGCAATCAGCAGTCAGCAGAAGTAGCCTGCAGTACTTCACTCTAACCACTGCACCACCACGGCTCAATATGAAATAGTTGTAAACTCAGGTTGTGTTTGAAAATACCTGTGTGGCTCTCGGCACAAGAAACATTTCAAAGATGAAAAATTATAAATAAATACAAATGGTTAACCTATTTTCACTTTAGAACTTTGTCAGGGAGAATGTAAAATAAAAACAAGAAAACGAGTGGCAGGATATACTTTCTATGTTACAGATCTGTTGACTCTACTGGACCAGCATTCTAGGAAATAAAGACTTCTATCAAATCTTACTACCAAACAGCAGTATTTCTTACATTATTTAAACAATAGAAACATGCACCAATTAGTATCTATGTAATAATATTGAAATTATATTAGTGCAGTTACTTTTGCACAATACCATAACAAGCAATAATTTCCCCACAAAACAACAGCAGCAAATGGAGAATTCTCAGAAGTTATTTCACTGTAAATATTTTGAACAGGTGCAGCCAGTGAGTTCACATAGCATGCAAAGCCAGTTCCAAGCAAACAATATTACTGCTGAGCATAATTCATGAATCAGATTAGAGCTGAAATTGTTTTATCCATGGCTGAATCCCATGTCATTCCATTAATATTCAAATAATTTAATTCTGCAAAAGATGCCAAATTAATATTTGAAAAGACTGACGCATGGATTACCTTGCCTTAATTCTAGGAAAGTGTAGAAGACACCTGGAAGGTGATAGGCAGATGTGCACTGTTCTCCACCCACCCACCCACCCCAAAAGCATCCATACATGCTTTTAAAACCCCACCCAGTAAATATTAGCGGCAAAAATTAGATATTTTTAGCAGCGTATTTTTCTATTTTTAAAAGTAGGCAATAGCAAAAAGCTTGACTTTTTTTTTTTTTTTTTAAATCAACCTTCCTGGAGCCAAAAAAAAGTGCCCATCATTTGAGTTCTACCTTTTCTAAAGTTTTTGTTTCTTAGTTAAAAAATAAAATGCAGCTTCCAGTCAAGGAATAGAGCCTGGTGGCACAGCAGACTAAAGCACTGTTATTAACATCAGCTGCCTGCAATTACTGCAAGTTCAAATCTCACCAGGCTCAAGGTTGACTCAGCCTTCCATCTTTTCAAAGGTAGGTTAAATGAGGACCCGGATTGTGGGGGCAATAAGTGACTTTGTATAAAATATATACAAAAGTATGAAGGCTATTGCTTAACGCATTGTAAGCCGCCCTGAGTCTCTGGAGAAGGGCGGCATATAAATCAAAAAATTTTTTTAAAAAAAAATCAAGTGCCCACCATTAAAGGCAGTTTACGCATTTCTTAAAAGACCTGAAATATTTATTGTGTATTTATTAGATCTCCTAATAAGTAGTGATACACAAATGTCTGAACTAAAGTTGCCTCCACCCTTATAGTCAGTATTCCATTAACAGGTAGTCCACATTTAGTGACTGCCTCAGACAACAACCATTTGCAGTTATGACAGGGATGAAAAAATAACTTTATAACCAATAGCAATAGCACTTAGACTTAATAGTGGTGGATTGCTCCCAGTTCTGTCCGGTTCTTGTGAATCGGTAGTAAAAGTGGACGTCATAATGGGCGATCTGCGCATGCACAGAAGAACGCATGCTCCTGTTGCGACTGGTAGTAAAGGTAAGTAGAACCCACCCCTGGATTTATATACTGCTTTACAGCCCTCTCTAAGCAGTTTAGAGTCAGCCTATTGCCCCCAACAATCTGGGTTCTCATTTTACTGACCTTGGAAGGATAGAGGGCTGAATCAACCCAATTCTTCACTTATAATTTTTGCATGTCTGTAAAGCAGAGAAGCTGAAGTAAGATCGTATCAAGTTACCAGTCCCAATGGCAGATGCTAAAAAACAACTTCCTGTACAGAATACTGACAATCTATTGAAGAAGTCACTCTTAATAAGCTTGATAAAGGCCAGGCAATGTCCATATGCAAGACCCTTGATACTAGTGTACATATTTTGAGTTGCTGGATACTGTCTAACTTTCCCTAATAGAAGTGCCAGCAGAAATGGCCAAAAATAGTTGGATCCAACTCACCTACAACTGTAGATAAAATAGATGAGATCACTATGTTACTCTTGACTTATGATGGACAATGATTTCTATTAACTGTTGTCTTTGCTATGTAAAGGTAAAGCTGGCCTCAAGTTGACTTTGACTGCTTGCGATTCTGCAGATAGAACTGTAATTTTCTGCTAACAAAGAAGTGTTTTTTTCAAGAGATTTTTCTACACCCCTAAACCTTTAGTGTTCCAGAGTAGATTCCCATCCAACTATTAACCATATCTGGCCCTGCTTAGCTTCAAGCAAAATGCTGCCATCTGGTGACACTATTGCTGCCATGCATGACATGAATTTGGTCTTGACACCAATATTAGGCATAATGGTTTATCAAAGAAAGATATAGGAGACAAAAACATGTCTTTCATAATTAATTTATTCAGAATTAATGTTATCAAATAAATTACCTATATTTTACAAAAGGGAAAAACTGGCATAAACAGTACAAGGAAATTTGAGAACGTAAAGACAACCAGGACTAAATGGAAAAGCAGAGGTTTAAAGAACATAATTTACTTCTATGAGAAAGTTACCATTTAAAATTCAAACTTTCTGAACAAGACAATTTAGTTTATCATAGTAAGTATCTGAACCATTTGAAATAGTATGAAAACTATTATACACACACACGAATCAGTCTCCTAGTAATGAGCATTTAGAAAGATATGGCCTCAAAATATGGTTCCAATTAGATAACATATTTTATAATTAGCTGTACGTACACGTACATACATTTGAAATATTTTTAAAGATCACATTACAGGAATAAAGTTTTATCACAAGCAATTTTATCATGACTTGTCATGATTTCATTGATGATCCTAACTTCTAACAGAGAGGTATTTCCTTCTTTGCACTATGCATAATTTTATAGATTTAGATTGTCCATTTCATTTTGTAAAATAAAAAATCCCACTATTCTCTCTTTTTTGCATATGAAAGATGTGGTACTTCAATCATTTAGGTACTTCTTTTACTTGTTTTTCCCTCCAGTTTTTACAGAATGAGTAGAATATTTAAAAAAAATTAAAACTAATGACTGAAAACCCCTTCCCCCAAAAGTGATATTTGTAATAAGGATTTATATTTTATTTATTCATTTGAATTGCAAATAGTGCCTAAGCACAAAACTATATTCCATAATAATTACAACTAAAGATTGAATGTAAATTTTGATTCCCCCCCCCAGTCTGCAGTTGGAATGTGTTAATATCATTTTCTGAATGTAGTGTATGCAAATGTACAGTCAGAAAGGTATCATTGTACTAGTCCTATTCATTGCTTCATGACCTGCAATATGTAAATGTATCTTTCCAGAAATCCATATATTATTATTTCCAGATAATTACCTGTAGTTCATTTAAAATGCAAACACTTTGTAAAAATTAAAAGTGGTGAAGAAAGTTAAAACTTTAGCTTTTACATTCTCAGATATCAAGTACAGGTACCCCCCAATTTACAACCAAAGTTGGGCTAAGAACTCCTGCTGCTAAGTGAGGCAGTTGTTAAAGAGTGTTATTCCCAATTTGGTCCTTACGTGAATCATGTGGTTGTTAAAACAAATCTGGCTTCCCCATTAACGTTGCTTGTCAGAAGTCAGTTGGGCAGATCCCAAAGTCGATCATGTGACCCCAGGCTGGTATTGTCGTAAATACATGCCAATTATCAAGTATCCAAATTTTGAACATGTGACTGCTCTGACATCATAAGTGTGACATAAGTAACTTTTTTCAGTGCTGCCATAACCTCAAATAGAAGAGACCTTTAAATTTTGTTCTCTAAAGCCATAGTGAATTTCTGTCACAGTCCAATATAAAGTATTCAGTCAAACTATAGAAATACTGGCACAGTACTGAATCTCTTTATTATGTAGTGGCAAATAGAGTCAACAATCCTTTCAGAAAAGAAACTATTTCATTGCCTCCTAGCTTAGATTCTCCGTAGACTCGATCCACAAATGATATAGGAACCTATTAAATGAAAAAATAATGAAATTATTTCAGTTATAAGAACCAATAAAAAGATAAACAGGAACACTTCACCACAAGATTCAGTATTTATCTACCAACATGTAAACGGAATGTGATTTGATGCAGAGTATGAAGTGATAGCTGTCTCACATTTAAATATGCTCAGGGAACATTTTTTACAAAATCATTCTTGCAAAACAGCCTACCCAGAGCCTGAATATGAAGATGGCATGCACTAGAGGTCTCAAAAGAAACACCATATTCGGGACTGTCTTTCTCGCTCCGATTATGATCTTTCAAACACTGCCAACAACTCTTGTTTACTCAAGTTGCAAATCATTTAATTTTGATAGTTGTTTCGCTATAATCTGTACTGCTTGTTTTAATGCTATTTTATGATGTGGTATAATTCTAATCTTTTAAATAAATTAGACAAAATAACCAGGTTCCTTTTAAATCTACTAAAGTATCTGTATCTTCCTTATGTTGAAATGAAATCCATTATTGTTGCTACAATACAGAATATTAACCTTTGCACTTTTTAAAGGTACTCAGTATATATCTTACTGAATACAGTATCCATGTGTATAATAGAACAAAGATATACATTTTAGTGTTATGGCGGCTAGTGTATCTATCTTAAAGAAGTATAGATTCCCAATTTAGTGGTAAATTCATATAACCTTCTGAAAATTACTTTTTCTGATTTTTGCAGAACAAGGTCGTATAATGTCTCAAAGGGCCAAAAGGAACTGTAAAACATTCTTACTCTCAAGAGATATTGACTTGCATTGCTTTCTTTTTATAGCAAATATCTGAAGTAATGCTTTTGTGAAATTACACACATGGTTTCAATTCACTAACTGTTCATTAAATATAGACAACACGGTTTTTGTAATATTTTAAACTACAGCTTATTTTTAGTATAGCAAAACAAGAATGGTAACATTTCAGCATGATATATGTTAAAATTCTCCAAAGCACAAATTTAGGCTTTGGAATTCACAGGAAAATCCAATTAGGAATTTTCAGTAAGTATACTCCACTAGAAATCAACTGGCAAACAGAAACGGAGAAAAAATTCCTACACCCAAATTTTTCTGCCAAACATATATTATATTTCTCTGCATATTTCTTTTTGGCAGTGGAAATTCCGATGAAGACTGCTTTGTAAATCTTGTTGACACACAGCAGACATTGGCATAAATTCATGAACAAACATGGCTAAAGGATTCAAGAATCCCAGGGGCATATCTCAAATTGGAATGAAAGGTATAGATTTTTTACACTAAATAGGATACCCAGACATTGCTAATTTAAGATAATCTACAACTAGCAAAGTAATCTACAATATGTAATGCAGATGAAGCCCCAGGATACTAAACATCTTGAGGGACTTCAGCCAGCTGGGCAGAAGTAAATAAGGAACTGTGTTTCACTACTAGTTATGGGGCAAATCAGAGAACCAAGAACTCCTTCTCAGAACAATTTTTTACCCTTTCCCAAACTGGTAAAAAATCTGGCTGTTTTAAAAAGTAAGCTTTATTGTATTTGCACTCTACATTGCTAAGAGTCTAACAAATGCAAAAATGATATATGAATTTTTAATAAATAAAAAATAGTTTCTCTATAGAAGCAGTACCAACTTCTTTTGTGACCTGAAACTTGTGTGAAATTTAACAAGTGTTAAAATCTTAGACAAAGATTTATTAGGCGCAATACTAGGCCCTTGGTAATTAAAATATGGGCCCTTAGAAATTATGCTACTTTTAATTTACCATGGCAAAGACATGAATAACTTTCACCTTCACTAGGTGACTAGTAATGAAGCCATCAGACCACATTTACCCTGATGCCGGAATATTAGGGAGGATGTATTACAACTAATTGTAGTAAGCTATGGCTGGGAAGGTGGCATGAGCCACGGTGGTGCAGTGGTGAGAGTGCAGTACTGCAGGCTACTTCTGCTGCCTGCCGGCTGCCTGCAATTTGGCAGTTCGAATCTCATCAGGCTCAAGGTTGACTCAACCTTCCATCCTTCCGAGGTGGGTAAAATGAAGACCCAAATTGTTGGGGGCAATATGCTACTCTGTAAACCACTTAAAGCACTGTGAAGTGGTATATAAGTCTAAGTGCTATTGCTATTAAGCTTCTTTGAATTTAAGTGGATACCTTTCTCATCCCTGCATCTTTAAATGATAGAAGAAATGTTCACATTGTAACAGCACCTCTTATTTGCTCTTATTTGTCATTGACAGTCAGATTCATCATCTGATTAACTTTGTGATGCTATGGCCAATTAGCAGTTGTGTTTAAAGTACTGGGTAAATCAGTAATTAAGATTTTAGTGTAGGCTACTCAGGCTATATGATTTTATCTGAATCCTCAGTGTTTTTACTTGTCAATCAATTCTCTCTAATAGCCAGAAGATAAACTTTGAGCACAAAAATGTAAATGTAATATGTTCTTTATGTTTTAGATTTTTAGCATACCTCTCCAATAGAATAACCCAATTGTCTGGCCCGGACAATCATTTCCATTTGGAAAACGTATCCTTTTGAAACACATTTCTCCATCAGTTTTTGTAGAACCTCTTTTCTATATAACCTGAAATTTAGCGCACATAAAATGAAAATGTTTACAACAGCTGAGTTATAGGTACACACATTTTCAAGTAATAACTAAGTAGTAAAAAAAGAATAAATAATAGCAATAACCTATATGCAGGTGCCTCCCAGATGTTATCTAACAGTTTTGCAAGTTCAGTAGATCTCTTTTATCAATCTCAGACTGTCCATTATCCTGAAGCATTCTTGCTCATCATGAATTGTTACGTGCCATTTGGAAACTAGCTTACCTGAAGCTTCCTGTTAAGTCTGATGCACCTGGCCGTAATAGAACTTGAGTTAAAAAGTTGGCACCTCGGCTGCAAAGAAAGATACGTTTTAATATGCAAATCAGAATTTTAAAACAAACAATTAACCCATGTTTTAAAGATGTTTCATTAAAGGATCAGAGTAATTTACATTAACAAAATATTTTTAAGCACAACTTTGTGGGATCCCTGAAATATAAGGCCCAATGCTAGTTCAATGTTTTGTTTCTTCCAAAAGAGATGGAGACATAAATGTCTCCTATCATTATTTCCTGCAATTAGTATATTAGTATTTTGAGATAAGATGTCTCCAATCTGGATATAATATTGAGCTGAGTTTTCAAGAATGTTTTAAGAACGTGGTGTTCAGTTTCAGAATATCTCATGTGGAGAATATGTTTATGAAATAAAATTAGATAGAAAAAAAGATATGTAAGATGTGTAGCTGGGCTGGATAGAAATAAGAATAAGAATTTTTTTTCCAGTGTTCTCAGAATTAAAGAAATCTTTTTAGAATCTGAGTCTGGCAACTGTCTCAGAAACAATTCAGAGAAAAAAAATGGACAGTTTCATGAGGTGCTTTTTGCTAGTGATACAGGGCTATAGATGAAACACTGACCTGATCAATTTTCGTTTTAGATCCCATCCATGCACACCTCCATTTCCTTTATATCGAGTCCCAGACACAATATCAAAATTTCCTTCTTTCTGTTTTCTATAGAAATAATAAATGGTCAGAGAAAAGAAAGTGTTTTTTTTTCTGAATTACAAACTCACATATTTAGTATAGCAGTAATACAGAAACAGATAAATACACCAATGATACTAAAATTGTTAATGTGCAATACAAAAATAAAACAAACTAAAAATTAATACTTTTTCATCTTCAAAGTATGGTTAGAGCTAGAGAATAAAACTATGACATACTTTGAGCAATCCAGATATTTGATAAGCAATTTAAATGAGCACAAAGTAAATAAATAGCAGAAATCTACAAGCAAATACACAGAATATTAGGGAATTATGTTTATAAATAATATTATTTTTATTATGACCTATTTATCAAACTAGGTCAGGTATGGTATGCCACCTCCTACTCCATAATTAAGAGATTACAGTAGTGTGTAGATTGAGATATTACACATTGACACATTTTTCCTTTGACTATTTCATCAGCTGTGGTGGCCTGTGGTAGCCAAAAATCCAAAGGAATGGCAGCACCTTTTCTGAGGAACCATTTTATTGAAAGGCCAAAGTTTTGATGAACTGTAATTCATTTCATCAGATGTATGACATAGTTAAATTGATGTAGGATTTGAAAAAGGATATGCAGTAGGTGAGGAGAGAACAAGCAGTTACACACATGTAGATTACATGTGAATCACTTTACAAGAACCTCGCCAATTATATAACACATTAAAGTGACATGAACATAGTAAACAATAACAACAAATAAGAAACAGAAGAAACAAAGTATTTTCAAAATTCCTAGTATTCTAACTGGTCCAAAGTGTCTGTGAATCTTCCTTACATTTTTGAAACAAATGACTTATTCTCAAAACTCTCTCATTAAAAAGTTCAGCCAAAATCTCTGAATGGGGAATAATACATTATATTATGTTGAAAAGCTATGCAACACAACTGCATTATCTTCTACAGTGCAGTTTTGTAACAGCATAGTGTATATTTCCTCTGGTATTCAATCTTATTGTCCATCCCTACCGAAAATAAACACCACAAAGGAGTAATAAACTATAAGGCCTGTCTTTAAATATTAAAAATGCTACTCACTTGATAAACTCTGGAATGAATTTGGGCTGCAAGGAGGAAAAAAAAGAAAAGGTATGAGGAAAAGCAATAAAAACAAAAATAATTAATAAAATAAATGAATTTTTTTAGAACATAATAAAAACTGCCAATACGTAATAAATGCTAGGATTGAGGAAAAACAATCAGAAAAAAATAGAAAATACTGGGATTTGCAGATTGTAATTGAACACCTATGGAACAAGAAATCCCTCGTTATTAATTGTGATTGGAGTCCTCAAAGTAATACCTACCTAAACAACTTCCTTGATATCTGGAAATACTAAATTTTCTAGGCCTAAACACCCTAATTTTGAAAACAAAAACAAACACAACTGCTTGGATCTCCCTATATTCTTAGATGCCACTTTAATCATTCTTGGGAATTTTAAGTTTCCACCTGTCTTAGATGGTGACTCTAACTGTAGATTACCCTGTTGGATCTGTCTCCTACAGTTGGGTAGACAATATATCAAAAATGTGTACTATGACTTTAACTCCTGTAAAGTAATTAATTGAGTAATTGGTTGAAACGGAAATATAAGGAAGGCAGTGAGCTCAGCAGTATTCTTGCTCGCTTATGCTTTGCTGATACTGCTCACTCCTACTCGTGAGGGCAATTTACCCCCAACACTCATGCATAATAATAATTTATTAAATTTATATGCCACCTAATTCCCAGCGATTCTGAATAGTTTACAATTCTAAAACATTTAAAAACAAATAAAAATGAAGAAAATAAACCCATAGTGGAACAAAAAGGAAGAAAGAGCCATCAGTTGTCCTTTCCAAAGGCTTGAGGAAAGAGCCAGATCTTTAAAGCACTTCAAAATACAGAAGGGTAGATAATCAAGGCGAATGAAATAAAGAAAATGTTTAAGAAGAAAAAACAGAGAACAAACTTACATGGTGTGAGAGATCAGCATCCATAATAATAATGAAGTTTCCTGTGGCATGTTTCATTCCATGAATGTAAGCAGTTCCTGATGTAAACAATATAAAAGCCATGACTCCCCTCTCCTTTAACAATCACGTACATGAATAAAAATGTTTCTGGCATTGTCAAATAATCTCTCTCTATGTATCAAATATGATACGTTTCTTCGCATCCCATACAATCTGAAAAGAGCTGGGTCCCATTGATTAAACAGCTTGGTAGGGGCCTTGTCTATCTTGGGCATCTGCCGTCTGGAACATCCTCCCATCAGAGATTCATATAGTTCCAATCCTAGTCCAGTTAGAACAAATGGTAGACCTCTTGTGGAAAATTTTGTTTTTGTGTATAGACTTTTTTAAATGAAACATTCTGTCTTTATTTTTGCTGTAAGCCAGCCAGCTCTTACAAAGCGGGGGTGGGGTGGGGTGGAGAGCTATGAACACAATAAAAATATATATTAAAAAATTCCACTATGTAAGAATCCCATTATGCCTATCTTCTGTTTATATATCTACAAAATTAACACTTGCTACTTTTCATGTGACTGTTAATTTCTTACATGACACAGTCATTAATTCTGAGTAGCAACATAACTAATTTTGTACGTTGCCAAATGAGTGTGTATACTGTCCGCTCTTCTGGTTCTCAAAAAACAATGCAATTAGCAGCAAAATTAGATTCTGATTTAAATTGTTTTGAAAAATAAAAATATAATTGACTGAAGGTTAATGTACGGTGGTCTCAATAAATTGATACAATATTGTTAATCATCTCATTACTGACTACTTACCCAATCCAAGTTTCTTTGCTCTGGGTCTCAACAGCTGTAAAGTATAAGTACATACACAAAAGATGAACCATACTAAGTTCTGACTAATGATCATGTACTTCCAATAAAATTTCTTATTGCTCTTTTGCTCTTCCTCAAACAGAACAACTATACTCATAAGGTAAAATTTTGACATTGCATAAATGGATTTTAGTCTGTATTTCCCTCACATTGCTGTAATTTACCTAGACTAAACCTAGGTATTTCCCCACATATTTTATGTGATTCCCTGAATTTAGAATGTATAAGAAATACTTTTACCTTAACCTTATAATAATAATAATCTCTCTGTATTTAAATATAGGTGGATTAATATTTAGGACTAGTTGTCTTCCCCTCCCAGTTCCTGGAAGTGAAGTACTTATTCCAAAAGAGTGTCCCAATAATAACCATGACATATGGAATCAATAAGTAATCTTCAATTTATGACCATAATTGAGTTGGAATTATGATCATTAAGTAATGCTGGTCATTAAGCAGGTTATCCTGTGACTGCCTGATTTTACAACATTTTTGTGGCAGCGAACACAGTGGTTAGTAAGTGAATATAATGGTCATTAAGTGAACAGCACACTAGTTAAGCAAACCCATTGCCTACCAGGGATGTTGTTTTTTTTAACCAGAAACTGGAGGTAATTGAGGGATAACAAGCTATTTTCAATTAGCTAAATGATTTCAAAGTGAATTCCATTTCTCTATGCTAACAATTTGAAACACCTTGATAATAATTGTATGGCAGCTAAGACAGGGGGAAAAAAGTAACTTACAATTTTGTCTGATCCATAAATTTTTATTAACTGGTCAGCAACTTCCTGCGTCCCATCTGGGCTTCCATCATCTATAATTACAATTTCGAACTCATTCCCACTGAAAAAAGAATTATTTTGTAAAGTCAGGTCCAAAACGGAGCCAATTTCTTAAGGTGGAAAGGGAGAAGAATCTCCAATGGTTTCCCATTAAAAGCAAAGTATAGTCATTAATCTTATTACATTTATTTGGAAAGTCACATTTACCGTAACATATTGTTTAATACCATGTTTTTCTTGGCAACAGTGTAATGACAACAGTACTGGGCTTGGACTCAAGGCCCTTGGCTCCAAGCCCCCCCCCCCCCCCCCCCCCCCCCACCAAAAACAAAGCTCCAAGCCCCCCCCCCCCCCCCCAAAAAAAAACAAAAAAAACCCCAACAGCTCCCAGGAAGACCTAAGGTCAGATACAAAGGCCTCCCAGGGGCTGCTGTTCGGATGAGGCCAGGTGCCTTCCGCATTCAGCTGGCAGAGAAACGGAGGGAGAGTTGCAGTCAATCAATCCAGCCCAAGTCAGGAAAACCGCCAGGAAATATCAATCCAATCGAATTCTTTATTGGCCACGTGTGATTGGACACACAAGGAATTTGTCTTAGGTGTATAATATGCTCTCAGTGTTCATAAGGAGAATAAAATACATTCATTGAGAATAAAAAGATACAGAAAGGGTGGCATGCATATCTATGGGACAAAGACAATAAAAAGAAAACCTACTTCCACAGGCATAAAATTAGAGACTCCCTAATACAAACGTGGGTGGGAATTAGGCAGAGATATTATTCAAAAGTCCCAAACTGGCTTTCCACGGCAGAGGCAATGATTTACCCCAACAGGTGGGGAATGGAGAAATTGTGCAGATACAAAGATATTGTCGATGGAGGGGGAAATATTAAATCAAATGAAGCCCTGAGAGACCAAGGTATAATCTTAGATTGGTGGACTTATCTGCAAATAAAATCAAAGATACCAGAAAGATAAAGAAGAGTATGGCCTAGAATTAGGATATAAGGGATTAGACAAAATTTTGATGGGACCAGGGAAAAAAGCGTTGGCCAAGCTGTATAACTATTTATTAGAGGAAGACAGAGACGAGGATATAATTAGAAATCAATTGAGAGCATGGGAGAGAAATATTGGACACAGTTTGAACTTTAATGAATGGGAAGAAGCCTGGAATAAAAATTATAAATTAACTAGAGCAGCCACATATAAGGAAAATCACTACAAAATGCTTCATAGGTGGCATTTGGCACCTGCAAGACTAGCAAAGATGTTCCCCAATGCGCAGCCAAATTGTTGGAAATGTGGCCATGGTCATGGCACCTTCTTTCATACATGGTGGACATGCCCCGAAGCAAAAAAGTACTGGAGTAAAATTTGGAGATGGTTGAAAGACATACTTAAAGAAGACATTGATCTGAATCCAGAAATATTTCTCCTGGGAATGGTAAAGAAAGGGTACGGAAAGGAAAAGGTCCACCTCCTAATACATATAACTACAGCTGCCAGACTAGCATACGCTCAATACTGGAAAAAGAAAGACCTACCACCAGATGACCTTATAATTAACAAAATATTAGAGTGTGCAGAGATAAGTAAATTAACTCACGAGATAAATGATGATGAAAATTCTGACTATGATACTGTGTGGGGAAGATGGTACAAATGGATAGATGATAGAATTAAGGAAGAAATAAAAGGTGCAGAAATCAATTAGAAATGTATAGTACAAATGACACCAGACACTTATTCATGTATATATGTACAAACACTGCGAATCCGATGTTAAACAGAATTGTTATTATATTTTATTTGTGTAAAAAAAAATCAATAAAAATTGTATTAAAAAAAAAAGAATAAAAAGATACAAGGCTTAGTGATAGTCAAGGTTATTAATCAGCTATCAAATCATACTAGGAAACAAATAAAAACAATATAGTTGAAAGATACAAGCAACATGGGTATAGCTATTAGAAAGAGAAGATTAATAATAATAGTAATGCGGACTTAGTGAATAGTTTGACAGTGTTGAGGGAATTGTTTGTTCAGCAGAGTGAAGGCATTTCGGAAAAAACTGTCCTTGTGTCTAGTTGTTCTGTTGTGCGATGCTCTGTAGCAGAGGTCTTCAAACTTGGCAGCTTTAAGACTTGTGGACTTCAGCTATGCTGGCTGGAGAATTCTGGGAGTTGAAGTCCACAAGTCTTAAAGCTGCCAAGTTTGAAGACCTCTGCTCTATAGGGTCTTTTTGAGGGCAGAAGTTGAAACAATTTATGTCCAGGATGCGAGGGGTCGGTAGATATTTTCACAGCCCTCGAGGAGCTGGGAAAACACTTAGCAAAGGCTACCCCTCCCCCAGGCCGCCACTCCCGCCGTTAGTCACCTCTCCTCGAAGCTCTTCACCAGCAGCCACACCACCAGGGGAAGATTCTCGCGCTCGTTGTAGGTGGGCAGCAACACCGAGTACTTGCGGGCCGCGGTCGCCATGACGGAGCGCGCGCACGCGCTTCAACCCGCCCACCGCGCCTGCGCGTAACTGCAGCGGCCAGTGGGCGGGGAAGATGGGGGGGGGGGAAAGGAGCGTGTCCCCGGCGCGTGTCTCTCGGAGTCGGAAGCGGAAGGAACGCTCGGGGTCTGTCTGCCGCTTGAAAGCTGCGGCGATGGAAGCCGAGAAGGCCGCTCGTCTTTCCCGCGAGGACGACTCGGCGGATGACGGAGGCGACACGAAGGATCCTTCCGCTCTCCGGGCGGGGCTGAGCCGGCTGGATATTCAGCGTTACTCGCGGCAGTTGGTGCTGCCGGAGCTGGGCGTGCGGGGGCAGCTGCGGCTTTCCTCGTGCGGGGTGCTGGTGGTGGGCTGCGGAGGGCTGGGCTGCCCGCTGGCGCAGTACCTGGCCGCTGCGGGCGTGGGGCGCCTGGGGCTGGTGGACCACGACGTGGTGGAGCTGAACAACCTGCACAGGCAGGTGCTGCACCGGGAGAGCCGCCTGGGCCGTTCCAAAGCGCACTCGGCGGCCGCCGCGCTGAAAGAGCTGAATTCCGCCGGGCGGTACGAGCCTTACGAGCTGGCGCTCAGCCCCGCCACCGCCTTGGATCTGATCCGGACTTACGACATAGTGGCCGACTGCTCCGACAACGTGCCCACTCGCTATCTGGTCAACGACGCCTGTGTGCTGGCTGGCAAACCCTTGGTGTCCGCCAGCGCCTTGCGCTTGGAGGGCCAGTTGGCTGTGTACAACTTCCAGGGGGGCCCCTGCTATCGGTGCCTCTTCCCCAAGCCCCCTCCTCCTGAGACGGTCACCAACTGCGCCGACGGTGGGGTCTTAGGCGTGGTGCCCGGCATCCTCGGCTCCCTCCAGGCTTTGGAGGTGCTCAAGATTGCGTCGGGGATGGGATCCTCCTTCAGTCGGTCGATGCTGCTCTTCGATGCCCTTGAAGGACGGTTTCGCCACATCAAACTCAGGCCCAGGGATCCCAAGTGCGCTGTGTGTGGGGACCGGCCTTCCCTGACGACCCTGCAGGATTATGAAACTTTCTGTGGGTCTTCGGCCACCGATAAATGTCGGACGTTGCGCTTATTGTCCAGCGAAGAGAGGATTTCTGTAGAGGAATACAAGAAGATTCTAGACAACCAGGTGGCTCATGTACTGGTGGATGTACGTCCCCAAGTAGAAGTGGAGATCTGTGGCTTGCCCAGATCCTTCCAGGTGCCTTTAAATAAACTAGAAAGAAAAGATGAAGAATGTTTGAAGTCTTTGTACCGGAAGATACACGAAGAAAAACAGAGGACTGATGGCACTGTGGCTTTTCCAGTTTATGTTGTCTGTAAATTAGGAAATGACTCCCAGAAAGCTGTGAGAATATTGCAGGAACTGCTTTGTGATGAATTGGGATTAATTTCAGTTAAGGATATCAAAGGAGGACTCATGGCATGGGCTGACAAAATTGACCAAGATTTTCCTCAGTATTAAATGTTTTTTTAATAGCAATAATAATGAAAATTCATTGGTTTTGCTTGGTTTTTGAAAAGGGATTTATTGTTATAACAAGGTAATATGTTTATATCTTATATCTTCATTTGGTTATCTGTGGAAATCTCATTTAGTTCTTTAAATAAATACTTTTTTCAAAGTATTCCTCAGAGTCCTAGGTTCCACAAGAATTTAAGAGATTAAGAGGGAAAAAATGGTTGATTTGGATATAGCAGAAAAGGCAGGACTTGTACTGCAAAAACGCAGTACAGCTGCTATTTTATTGCAATGAGTTCCAGGAAAATTTTTAAAATATGTTCTATGGACTGAAAAAGTTTAGAATTCTTGCTTCAAATAAGTCACCCAAAGCAAGTTACATATTTGGGGTGGGAGAGAAAATAATCCTCTCTGTAAAGAGAAAGGCATATGAAAGAGGAAAAAAAAGTTGTGGCTTGGTTCTTCAAGTTCTTAAATAATGAACAAATGAATGCAATACATAACTAAAGGGAAGGCTGGATGGAATTATTGTTTTACATTTCATTTCCCTCTTGTAGCTTGACCAGTAATTATATTGTGCTATAATAAAACCATACAAAAGATAAATTTGTATAAATGCATTTTCCAATATTCCCAGGACCAAATACTGCTGATTTAATTGTATCCTTCCTTGAATTCCTGTTGAATCCAAAGGTACCCTTCTGTGTCTTTTAATATTGTCACTTTATATTATAAAATTATACCATAACTTTCATTAGCACATTAGGTTATAGTCCTTGAGTACTTCCTTTTTTAATTTTTTTTTTTTAAAAACTGCATTGACACTTGTCAGATGTTTGTGGAAAAATAATCATTTTGTGGAGGGGAAAGGGAACATTATTCTCTGTTGTCCTGAGCTTGTTGGAAAAAAGGTGGTGGATAAAACTGATACGTGGTTTTTAAAAAAGTGAACGTCACCAAAAATCGATTTTTTTTTTTTTATCAAATTTATTTTAATAAAAAGCTTTTGGAGTAAAAATCAATCTAAGGATAGTTTTCTATTTAAGATACATTAATAATTTAGTTTATTCAGCATGAAATGGAGCTTAGTTATGTAGCATGATGCTGTATATTCTGCAATATTGGGATTGTCAGTGAGTCAATCGCAGGTCAGAGGAGGAGCTGCTGCAGGACAGAGATGACAGTTGCTCTCTAAAAATTTTGCTTTAAATTGACTTGATTTAAATCAAATCCACCCTGGTCTTTGCTCCCAAAATGTTCACCAATAGTCACATATCTCGTTCACAATGCACCACAAAATAAAAGTAAAGACAGCAGAGGGCCTTATCCCATTCTCTCTGCTTTTCTAACCCTCTTTATTACAGATTAGTTGCAATTTTATTCACAAAATGTCTTGCATGTAGCTGCTAGATAGCTACATCTATTTTTGGGCAGGAAGGTTATATTCTAATTTAAAATTCTTGATCTCATGATTGTAATTTAAAATATTAATGATTGCAGCTACCAACTAACTGAAGCCTGGTTGAATCCAGGAATTGAAACAATACCTTAAATCCTAGAAAGCTAAAGTAAATCTTTTACTATAAAATTGCTTTGCTTTATTTTCTGTTAGATGACTTTGAAAAGCATGAAAAGAATTTAACTTTTTATTTGATGATCAATGCAAAACTACACTGAAGGCTGGGGTATTTCACTGTAAACTCTATAAAGAACTGAGGAACTATTGATGGAGAATGACCGTTATTCAGATGTTCAACAGATGCATTCAAGGAGATTGGGATTCTGCTGTTGGTCCCATTCTAGCTACCTACATACCGGTAAATGCTGCAAAAAAAATTTACAACAGTGCTTCCAAATTACCGGTAGTCATGTATGACTCATCCATGTGATTAAGAGAACCTGTGTTTTCAAAAGTTCTGAATGTAGGAATAGAACATTTGCATATGCACAGTCTTCATGCAGAAAGTATGTGTTGTGACCCCGACTCCCGAGCCTGTCCTAACAGAGGAGGAGGACTCAGAAGGTGATGGGGAGGAACTGACAAGGCCTCCCTCTCCAGGACCCTCCTTTCTGGCAATGCCTCAGGTTCCATCCGAAGGCCAGGAGGAACAGCCTGGGATGTGTCAGGAGGAAGGCATATCGGAGCACCAATTGATAGGGAGCAAGGATGATGAATCCTGGTTTGATCCTAGGCAGCGTCAGAGGGAGAAGTGTGTGCAGCAATGGAAGAGGCGTGGGAGGGCCAGAGATTGAGCTGAGTCACGGAGCCACGCCCCCCGCCCCCCCAGGAATAAAAGTGGGTGGGATTGCTCTTCAGGCTTTGTGACGGACAAAGTTAAACCTGAAAGTCACATCGTGATCTCTGAAATTTGGCTTGGATATATTTTGGACTGAACATTGACTAAACTCTTGTCTCATGGATAATTTGTTGCTCCTGGAACGGACTGAAGATAAATCCTCTTCTGCTTTATGGGAATGAAAACGCTTTTGGCAGGCATTCGGCAGTTTGCTGCCAAAACCTTGGTCTGCCAGGAATTCTAATCTGTTTACCTAATAAAATATTGGCAGGCGTGCTTGGTATTACGTTTGCCTGTGTGAGGAAGGGGGACAGAACAGTATGGCAGAAAGACAGAATCAGGAGCACTGGGAAAATCTCTGGTACATTTTGAGCAAGGCAGAATGTCAAAATACAGCTGACATCACTTACTTAGTTTGAATGGCTTGAATGGCTAATTTTATAGTCATTTTTAAGAAGTCTTTTTAAGGAGTTACTAAGAAAGCTAAAATTATTCAACATAGTATGAGACATAAGAGAGCTAGCAAAAGAGTTTGAAAGTGGTTTGTACATTTGAAAAAACAGTAACAATTCTTATCTTTTTTCCTGAGAATATCCTAAGAAAACAATGGATGGATCATCGAACAAAACAATTCAAAGTTCTCACTGAAAACACAAATGACCAGGTTTAAACTATCCTTACTCTTGATACATTATCCAGGGATGTCAAACTGGCAGCTCGTGGGCTGGATGCGTCACACAAACCACGCCCACCCCAGCTCTGCGAAGGGAAAAACGTCACGATAAATCACGTGATGGCAGCATGATGCCATGAGTTTAACACCCGTGCATTATACAAAGGCCTACCTCTCTGGAGAAAGCTCTAGTGCCTGAAAAGTGTGGAAGAAAAGATAAATAGAGGAGCAGCAAGGTGGAAATATTGTTACAGCAGCAATGAAATTACCAGCCTAGGGATAGATCACGGAGAAAATCTGTGGGATTGCTGAGAAATAACAATGACTCAATGGCAGATAATCAATCTTAACGAACTTCCAATTACTGCAGCTTCTTAAAATAAGTCTTAGAAAGTATTCTGTGATATCCTTGGGTCTTTGCTCCCAACACTCAGCATACTTCACATTCCTATGAATCTATTTCAGTTCTGAATAGTAACGAATCTCCAATTACCGTGACACTTTTCTTTGCTCTTAAAAGATGATACCTACTTTGGCTTGGAGCTTTATGTATCATTTGTCTTTTCTCCCATTCTGCAGCGTCTCGCTCACAGTATGCTGCAT